AAAATCTTTGTTACCTCTACATTTTCAGTGAGGCCGTATTCGGAATGAGGATTTTCTGGAACCTGTAAAATAACACACGGTTAGCAAAGCTAAAATGCTCCTTTTGCACATATAACATAAAGCACATAAAGCGTTTCTTGTAATACCTGTGGCTGTCCCTCCATAATCTGTTCTCCCTCCATGATTTGAAAAGTGAAATTTGATCGACGTACAGGAAGATCTTGGAAAGCAATAAAAAAACCGGTCAGCAGGCTGAGCTGAAGCCCATGTGAGTTAAATCATATTGCATCACTTTGTTACTAATGGTTACCAAGGCACAATTACAAGAAAGCAGAGAGTTGCTCCGTGCTCCCCCCCGCGCCAAACTTGAACTGGTTTCTCCCGCACGCAGAACCGAGAAGTGCCTGTAAGTTTCGCGTTACGTCCGCTGAAGAGAGGAGTACAGGGATTAGAAAAGGCAGCACTCATCTCTCCGGGAAGCCGGAGCCATCCCTTTCTTTCCCTCTGTCCGTCCATCCCGTGCCCACCCCACGCCGCAGCGCCCGGAGAACCCCCTCGGGCAGGGCCGGGCTGGGGGCCCGCCGCAACCGCGGGCCACGTGCGGCCGCCGCCCTCGGCCGTGCTCCGGACGCCCCGCGGGGACGAGGCGGCCCCGCCGCAGGGCTCTTACCGCCGGTCGGTCCGGGATGGGCGGGACACCGGGATCGGCGGGACACCGGGAGCCGCTCCGCAGCAACCGCGGCCGCTGTCGCGAACTGTTTTGACGTCACTGAAGCGGTCGCGCGGCCGGCCCCCGGCGCACTGCGCCTGCGCGGGCCCCACCCAGCCCCGGCGCCGGCCGCGGGGAGGGCGGGGCCCAGCGCGAGGCCGGGAGCGCGTCCCGTCTCCAGGTGTCCTGCCGGGAATGAAACTCAAGGGGTGTGCTCGCTTCCAAACCGGCCTAGGGTTTCGGGGTACACACATGTGCTCGTAATCAATGCGGCTTGGCGTCTGAGGAGGTCACTATGGTGTTCACGAAAAATAACGTTGCTGAAGTTGATTTGGGTCTAAAAGTGGGATTTTGTTAACGAAATGAGCTTCCAGAGCTGCACAGAGTGTGGTTTGCACAAAAGTGAGCGCTAGCCGTAAATTGTCTCTCTGTTAACAAAATCGCAGCTGCTCAGCTTTCACCGGGTGTCGGCTTCAGTCATCCTGTCCTGACTTGAAACTGTCAGGAAATAGCAGAGTGCTGCTTCTGAAGCACCGTACCGGTGTTTGAACAGCTGTGCCCGACTGCTTTTCTTTTCATTAGGAATTAAATTTGAGGAAAAACTTCTTGATACTGAAGGTGGCTGAGCACTGGAGCACAGGCTGCCCAGGGGGTCATGAAGTTTCCTTCTCTAGAGGAGACTACCTGATTCAAAACCTGCCTGGATGCATTTCTGTTTTTGAAAACCCTGCCTTGGCCAGGGGGCTGGACTAGATCATCTCCAGAGGTCCCTTCCAACCCTAATGAGTCTGTGAATTCTTTAATTCACAGGTAATGTGGTTTGTGCCAGTGAATTAAAACGCCTTAAGAATATTTTTGGGTTCAAACTGACCAAGTCGTTTCATTTCTGTAAGTTTGACTTTTTGGAAGGTTTTGGTTTGACCGAGGTTTTGTTTGAGTTTTTTCTAGAAAATAAACTTTCTTATGTTATTTTACAAAAATAGGTCTACTTCTTTTTCTGTCTTCTTGCTGCAGTGATGACGATGCATACGAATGATGTAGGTGATGCTCCTAAAAGATTTGTGAAATGGAGGAGTAACAGAAAATGCCATGTTTTCAATAGATTCTGCTCTGATGTAATCATCTGGTTGTGGAAATAATGAAGTTGTGTACAGAAATGAATTTGAAATAATGTTGGCAGAACTGACAATGTTACCACAGTGATAAGCAGGCTCAAAAACTAGTGCAGTCAATCACAGATTTGATACTGAACTGAAGTACTTGGAATTAGAGCAGAACTGTGTCCTGTCTTTGTGTCTATTTTAGTACCTAGTGCTGGTAAACTTGCCTGATGCTGAAGAGGTGAGGTGAAAACACTGAGATTTTTTTACTGAAACTTAGAACAGGAATACAAACAAATTCTTAATGTGAAGAAGCTTTTCAGTCAGTATTGAGCCTCTCTCTGAATTTTTCATCGTGTTCTAGTAATGGCATTTTAGAGACTTTCATTTAGAGGTCATGTTGGGAAAGAAAAAAGGTTTTCCAACTTACCTTTTTGTGCAATGGTGAATCGTGGTGTCAGGGTACTTCCACCTTTCTAATTCCTATGGCTGTAATGCTGGTCTGCTCAGATGACCAAATCTTTTGCTGAGACAGCAGATTGTATCTCCTGTATTTCACAAGTCCTCGATCTTCAGAGTAGAGTCGACAGTTGCCTGCACCCGAGAGGGAGGCTTGACTTCTTCCAGCCCTTGCTGATGTTCATCAGAACCCTTGCTGAGCCAGGAGATCTCACTAACCAGCAGAAAGCCACAAGCCACTCATTGCTCTGATGTGGTTTAAGGGTTTGTGCTTTATTTTTTTTTTTTTTTAACTAGCATTCATCTTTACGAGATGATTAATTAGAATGGTTCGCTGGCAAGTCCAATGACTGCTAGGGCGATAATACCGGAAGGTAGGGAAATTCAACTTGCAGAGCACTAAAATGTTCAATAGCCACAATAGTGAACTGATTCTGTAGGTTTTCACTAAAAGCATTAAGACCTTCTCACAATTTCTCACTGATTTCTGCTTTTGAAGCTGTTTTGGCATGTTTAGGGGCATGTTGTTACAGTTCTAAAACTCTTTTATTGTCATGATACAGTCACATGATTCACAAATGTGTCGTTCTAAATTTTTTAAAAAGTAGAAATAACTGAATAAAATGACTAGTCAGGATTGAGATACATTGTCTTCTATTGTCATTCAATCTGTCCTTGTTAAAAAATTTACTCCTTTGCTGGCTTTTCTATTTTGCTCAGGAATGGGATGATACTTTAGATAGTAGTGGGATAATAAAGACAATAGATCAATAATCGGTTGTTAGGGGCTTATTTCACTTTTTTGAATGCTTCTTAGTGTTAACACTGCTTGAAGCTTCTGGAATTTCTTTGGTACTACAAAATCTGTTAAACCTTTAAATCAGTAAACAGATTTTTTTTAAAGGACAGTTATGTTTACTAAAAACAATTCTTCACTCATGAGTGGGCTGGAACATACTTGATAATATTTTCATAATAAAGTACATAATCCTTCTTACAAAATACAGAAGAAAAATACATGAGGTACATTGCTGCATTCTTTTCAGCACTGATAGGTTCACTGTCTGTCTAATAATGGTCTAGGTCATGAATTGTTGTTATATGTTTATATGTTATTTTATTTGTAATAAATTTCTGTATTTTATACAGTAAGAAAACTATACTGTGTACTGTTCTGTCATTAAAAGAAAATCATTCCACTCTGTCATTTAAGAAAATAAATACACATTAGCAGCGAAAACTGGAAGTAACTTTATGAGGCACAAACAAGAAAAAAACCCCAGTCGTTTTATAGTAATTTTGGAAGAATGAATAAAATATTGCAGACAGTAGTGATTTTAGCTTGGCACATCCTTTTAATTAACATGCCCCACCTGCTTGTGCACTGAATTACCTGTCTGCAGTTTTGGGACTGTCTCAGCTCCTGTGTGCAGTTCAGGGGTGCAGCAGAGAGGTGATCTGTCAAAATCTAATATCACTCAGTATTTTATTTGTGTGACAAAGAAAAACAATGGTGGAAAAGATCAGCCAACAGACAAGGCAGCCACAAGGAGGGGGAAGATTGAAGCAGAGAGGGAGGTGTTTGCTAAAGTGGTGAATATAGATAGTGCTGCTGTATGGGTGCCTCTCCTAGGTTACTGGACCAAAGGTACCAGAGCATTTTTAAGGTTTGAAATAACCAAAGGAATAGGGAGGTGGAGGACCTATCTCTTTGGTAGAGACACAAATAAATAAATAGTATGGCTGGGCAAATAATTGACAAGGGCTTGGACAACTGCGTGCTCAGTTCTGGCAAGGAGAGCGGAGTAAAGATTTTTTTTTTTTTCTCCAGAGCGATTTATCTATAATGTATAGTGAACTCCATTAGCTCCCTGCATGTGAGCAGCCAGCCTGTCATTCCCATTACAGAGCTGCGGAGCAGACAAAGCACGGGAGCACACTCCCGGGGGCAGCTGCAGGGCGGCGGGAGCAGGGACACCGCCGGTGACTGGCTGCTCCACGCCTCTCCGTGCGAGGGAATTCCCTGGGCTCTGCCTGTGTACCACCAGCAATGACTCCAGGCGGGAGCGGCGCCAGGAGCCTGCGCTGCATTGTGCCTGCGGGGCGGCTCACAGCCCCAGTCACAATAACTAATCCTATTAAATTATTCATCGCCCGGCCACTCGCTGCTTTTCGTGGGCCGACACTGAACGGCCAGGCCAGGGCTGGAGCGGGGTGGTGCTCTCCGTGTCGAGGTGCGCTCTCCACAACTGCCGAAAGGAGGCTGTAGCCAGGTGGGAGGATGGCACTTCTCCCGGGCAGCCAGCGAAAGGACGAGGGGACATTGCCTCAGGCTGTGCCAGCGGTGGTCCAGGTTGGACACCAGGAGGAATTTCATCACAGAAAGGGTTGTTTAACAATGAGATGTACTGCCCGAGGAGGTGGTGCAGTCACCGTCCCTGATCATGTTCAAGAAACGTCCGGACGTGGTACTCAGTGCTATGGTCCAGTTTGACATCGGTCAAAGGCTAGAGTCGATGATCTCAGAGGTCTTTCCCAACCACATTGTTTCTGCGACTCTGTGCTTTCCAGGCCCAGCGCTGAGCGTCCCTCGGGCCGTGGGAGCGGGGCAGGCCGACCGTTGTGAGCCCCACGCCGCCGCCTCCCATGGTGGCAGGGGCGGTGCCGCCTCTCTCCGCCCCCGGCCGGGGCCGCCCGCAGCCCGCCCTCCGTCCCTCCCCCTGGGCCGGCCGAAAGGGGCGTCGCCGCCGCCGCCATCGCCATGGCCGGTTGTTGTCAGTGCCTGGCAGCGGGTTATGGCGACGGCGGTGAATGAATTCTCCGGGCGGCCGAGGGAAGAAGAAGGGCTCAGCCGGCTCCAGTTCCGCGCCTCCGACCGCCGGCTCCTCTCCCTCCTCGCCGCCCGGGCCGGCGCCCCCCGTGCCGCCGGCGGGGGCGGCGGCGGCGGCGTCCCCGCACAAGCGGAACCTGTACTACTTCTCGTACCCGCTCTTCGCCGCCTTCGCCCTGCTCCGCTTCGTCGCCTTCCAGCTCGGGCTGCTCTTCGCCTGGCTCTGCGAGCGCCTCTCCCGCGGCGCCCTCATGGCCGCCAAGGGCAGCAGGGCCGGGGCCAGCGACGCGCCCGAGCCCGGCGGGGCGCCCGAGACGGTGCGGGCGTGTCACAAGCGGGCCTTCGAGTGCATCTCCATGGCTCTGCGCATCGACGAGGACGAGACAGGTAGGGAGGGAGCACCCGCGGCCGCCCCGGGGTGCGGGGGGAGGGCGGGAAGGCCCTGTGCCGTGGAACCGCTTTCGGTTCAGAGCGAATAAAGCCCGCTCAGGAGGGAAACGCGGGCTGCGGAAGGACGGTGTGTGCGGGGCTTGAGCCGTGCTGTGCCCGCATGCGGCGGCGGTGCTTTGGTCCCCGGCCGGGTCCGTCCCTGCCGCAGCCTCCCAGTGCACAAAGCTGCGGCTCGGGCTCGTTCCCCTTGTAAAACAAGTGCTTGTGTTTCTCCCCAAAAACTTAAAGAGTTTTTGCCGCGGAGGTCTGGGCGAGGCGATGAAAAATTGCGGGCGGCTGTGTGACTGTAACTGGCCTTCACCAAGCCAGCCGGACAACAAAAGCACCAAGGACAATAATAAGGGTGCATCCTATAATGCAGTGCCTGACAAATGATGTGAGTGCTGGAGCGACGCTTCGGGCTACTTGGCCCTCAGAATGCTCGTTTAAGTGGTGTGATTTTTAAGGAAAGAAATACCTAAATTTTGGCAGTTTCTTAAAAAATGTTTTTCTTAAACCTTTTGACATGCATACTCTCAAAAATCCTATAAACCTACCACTGTGTGATGAGAAGACCTTAAGGAGGATGTTTAGGGTTCAGTGAAATAAAACAGAGGAGTGAGGACTTTTTTTTTTCATTTTTTGTAGAGCATTAAAAAAACCCAACCACACAAAACTCTTGATACTGAATTTAATTTAATTATTTATTCTAAATGCAGCAGCATCGTTCTGTCAGCATGCAAAAGGTAGGCCTTGTGGGCATGCTGTGCTGGTTTTTAAAATTCTCTGAAAAAGTCAGAATGCTTTATTCTAAACTTTCAGTTGAGCTTTATTGAAACTCCTAGAGGAGGAGACTAAAAATATAGGAGTAGGCCTTCAATTGAAGCTGCATGCTGAGAGCACCATAGAAGCGTGGGATGTATCCACCTTTGCATTGACGATTTGGGAGTGGCAGTGGTATGCTCTGAAAGAGGAAAAAAAACCTGCACCATGTGCAGCAAGGTTAGTTCAGCACAGATGTACGGTGAGAGAGCACTGAGGGTCATAGGAGCAAAGCATGAAAGAACGGGAGGTAGCTGAAAGCTTCGGTGTTGATGATGATTGCTCTGTGAGGAGTAGCAAAGTCTTACCTTATCAGGCACCTGTTCCAGTGTTGTGACCTTTAACTGTTGGTGGTTTGGAGGGTAAGCCCTTAAATACCAGTTTTAATCATGGACTTGCTCTGTAGACATCTTTAGGGTGATCATACATGAATTAGCTGCATAGGCCATACCTTCAGTAAGATGATCTTTGCTGCTAATATAAGCAGTTGCACAACTATTATAGCCCTGCAACTGCACTATAATTCCACTGAGAAAGAGCTCCTTTTAATACACAGATTTGTTATTTGCTGATCTGATTTTGCCAGAATACTTGTCTATCTTTGAAAATTTTCTGATTTGTAAACAAGCTTTTTATAGCTTCAAAGAAAAAACCGTATTTTAGACATAGTGTGTGAAATGGTTGGAAATTCTGAATTGTCTAATAGCCTGTTAGTTATGTGGCTTTTTTTTTTTATTATTGTGGGAGCTATGCATACTTTAGTAATTTTGATAACACTTCTGGTAATTTTTTATGCTTCTGAATTAGTGGGGCAATTATTCTTGTTTTGGTATTTTCACAATTGGCTTAATATCTTTTCCTCAGAAGGCCAGTGTGGTGTATTGACCCTTGCAAGCAGTTAAGCATCCACACAGCTGCTTGTTTACTCTTTTCGGTGGGACAGGGGAGAGCATAGGAGGATCAAAAGTGAGGGAGGAAAAAAAAAAAGAAGTGATAAATCTTACCAAGCAATGATTGCCTTAGAAGACAGCCCCCATCCAGTTATTAATCTACCCAGGTTTTTATTGATGAGCATTATATTATACAATGGAGAATATTCCATTGGCAAGTTTGGGTCAGTCATCCTCCTGGTGTTCTCTCCCAACTTCTTGTGCACCCTCAGCCTACTCACTGGGGATCTAGAAGGGAAAAAAGAAAACCTTGAGGTTGTGCTGTTCAGCAATACCCTAAACATTTCTGTGTTCTCAACTGTTTCAGTCACAAATCCAAAACACAGTGCTATTGGGGCTGTTTGAGGAAAATGAGCTCCATTCTGCTCAATATAGCCAATAGCAACTATATAGTCAATAGAGCCAATATAGCAAATCAGTGACTTCCAAGTAATGTGGCATTTATTGCATTTTTAAATATCATAATCACTGAGAACTACTCAACCATTCTGTGTGGAGTTGGAGTACAACCTTTGTGAACAGCTTGGTGTGGTATTGAGCTTTTAAAAGTTCCTTCAGTTAAAAGCTGGAGGTGAAATTTTAATGATGACCTTGGCATGTTTGCAGCTGCCCCTAAGAATAACAAAGCAATTCAGGCTTTGTTAGCAAAGGTGGCTGGAATCATCTCAAACCAGATTTTTATTTAGCTATAATCAGTATGGGATTTACGATTTACACTGCAGTCAGAGCTGGTTCTGTGGGTGGTAAGGAGAAGAAGCTTGAAAAAAACACCTAAAGAGAGGATTGAAGTCACTTACCTTGGGTGATTTAATTTATCTAGATTTGTCCTTAACCATCAGGATATATGAGGCTGGTGAAGAAAGGGCAGTAATAAAATTACTCCCAAGGTGTGTGGTGTTCATGACTATAGGCAGGTGCTCTGTGGTGTGTGGTGGTAAGAAGAGCAAAGCATGAAATTACCTTCACAGAGGAACTTGCCAAATGTTACTATTTAGAGATTTCTTTTATCTGAAGAGGAGCAAGGGAAAACCCTGAAGAGGATTCTAGAAATGAAATTGAAATAATTTTGCTAACACAGAAATTTGCTAGAAAATAGGTTTGGGACTGAAGTTATCCAAAGATTTGAGTATAGAAGCACACAGCCACTGGTAACTGTCACTTAGGAATAGTTCTGTGAAACATGTCACCTGAAACTAGGGTAATGATATCTGAAGGTTCATTGTAGGCATTTTTAGTTTTTTCTACCATTAGTAGCTTGTTAATGCTGATCAGGTTTTTAGTTCTAATACCTAATTTGTTATATTCCTCTGTGGAAATGCGTGCTTAGTGTGATATAATTATGTTGCAAAAGTATTTTTCCATATGCAGGCAAATGTATTTTTAATGCAGAGTATTTATGGAAAGGGAGCAATATGAAGGAGATATTAATAGGACTTAAGTGGCTGACTTGCAGTCATGGTATCACATAGCTTAGGTCAGACATAGGCATGTTCATGGTTGTGTTTGCTGTGTATCCATTCAGGACGTGGTTGGTACAGAGGTGTGCTCTAACTCTGCTTGTTCTTCACGTGAAAGTTGGCACACACCTGTAATACAGCAGTTTCATAATAGCATAAACAAAGAAATACCCTCATGACAAATGAACTGCACTGTACGAGAGTTAACCAGAGGAGAAGTGTCTCTCATCTCTCCCGTGAAGTGTCTTTGACTTGTTGCTTTTCTTCCTGAGTTTCTGTGCTTCTAGTGTTATTTTGGCTATTATTAGTGTTATTATTGGCTATCACTGGAAGATTGAGACACATCTCTAGCTGATGTTCCAGAAGTAGAAACTGTTAATTTCACCATTTCTATTGGCAGTGAATATGTGTGGGTGAGCTTTTTTATCTTTCTTTTTTGGGCAGGGGGAGGGGGGATTTATTTCTTTAAGCCAGATGAAGGATTATTCTTAAAACAGGCAAAAGTGATTTGAGTCTGGTGTAGTACCAGTTTTTAACAGAAAAGCTTATTTGATATTTAAATAGATATAAAGTTGACAGTGTCCCTTTAAGACCTTTTTAAATCACAGGATTTTGTTAAAATATCTCTTCCTCTCTCTTACTTGTTTTATACAGCATTATATAGAACCATTTCTAAGCTTTAATTCGTTCAAGAAAATAATGAGCTCACTTCCTTTTTAAGCAGGACAAAAGGAACAAGCTGTTGAATGGTATAAGAAAGGAATTGAAGAACTGGAAAAAGGAATAGCTGTCTTAGTAATTGGTCAAGGTAAGCCAGTTTTGAGTTTTGTGGAACTGATTTTGGTTTATGGCTTCTTTGAAGTGAGAAATCAATATTACTAAACATAGGGGCTAGGAGCAGCCTGCTGTATGAATTACTTCATAAGAATCTTTCTTATTCCTGTGTTAGCTGTAGATGAGCATTGGTCCATTTCTGTGTTCCACCTTAATATTCTGGTCTATATCACATGCAAATCTTGCTCCAAATATTTTCAAGACTCTGCAAAATCATAAGGAGTTCATGAACACTGTTAAGTAAAACACATGATTTCTTATATAACGGGAGTGCCAAAATACTCGGTTTTGATTTGAATTGCTGAAGTTGACAGTTCATGTTCTCACTTATGCAGAATTTTATATTCCCTTCAGTATAATGTAAAAAGCAACCCCCCAATTTGGAACGGCCTGACGTTGTGTTTCTGAGTAACTTTGGCCAAAATAACTGAACATTTCAAACAAAGGAAGAAAGCCATCTCTCTATATGGAAACATTTTAATCTTTAGAGTAGAAGCAGGTATGTACCATAAAATACAGGTGTAGTGAAGGACCTGCTGAGAATTTCTGTCCTCAAAATAATATTATAACTATAATAATAACAACCCAAATCTAAACCTGTAAGTGTTTTTGCAGACTTGCATTTTGCTCCTCAGCTGTGTTTAGAAGTATATGGTGATCTTACTTAGGAGGCAATACCAGTGGCATTTGATAGAACCTGTTTAAATTGTACAGCTTAAAAAAAAAGCTTGACTTGAACAGACAGTATTTCTTAGGAAGTGGTGGTGTTAATGTCTAATTCTGTGTGTTTTGAAATGTAAAGGGACACAGTCAACTGAATTTAAATCTGTTAATTTTGTCAAGATGAATTCTTTCAAATTGTACTTGCCTCTCAGTCACTTTTCAAGCTTTTTAAAAATCTTTTTTTATTTGATTTCTGTTCAGAGAAATGCAGAGACAAGGGACATATTAGCATGAAATTATAGGCAATGTGCAAAGCAGTGTTTGGGTTCCCATCACTCTATAAGCACTATTGGAAAGCAGATAGTGTCAACTAACTTTAAATTCTTGATTAAATAGGAAGCTTTAGTGGTTTTTTTCATTCGTTTTATAATGAAGTTCCATAGAGGAGGGGATAGATAAAGGGGTGGGAGGAGGAGGAGGGAAGGCTGGGTATCAGTATTTTGGCACTTAATTTACTGAATTGTGTTTTAACACGGATTTTTCTTTGTAAGGTGATCAGTGTGAACGGGCTCGACGTCTCCAATCTAAAATGATGACAAATTTGGCAATGGCCAAGGATCGGTTGCAGCTTTTAGGTACCAGTTACAATTCATGACTTTGGAAAGTTCGTAATTATTTGCACAACTTCATTTAATGCATTCTTCTAAAATATTACTTTGATTTTTAAAGTAAAGGAGTCATTATCTTTGTAGGGTCTCTTTAATTTAATTTTTAGTTGAGAGTAAGTGCTGTTGATGGATTTCAAAAATGGAATTTCATTACCCGCTTTCAGGTATAAAAGTAACTGAGAAGTCTTTATATTATAGCACACTTGACTCAAAATGAGGAAGTCTTGATTAACTCCTGATGGAGTTTGTTCAGCATTTTTCTGTTAGTAATGTAGTGAAATTTATGATATATTGCTGATCATGGGTGCCAAGTGTGCTTCCTGCAAGTGTAACACTTCATATTCTGTTGATTTTGCTGTCACTTAGATTAACAATTTTCCTTATTATTGGTAAATAATAATAGTGATGGTGATGATGATAATTCTTGAACATCATGTAGACCATAAGGTTGGGAAATTCTAATTTTCTTGATTCTTTTCTAGTAGTGTTCTATTTTAAAATTAGAAGGTCATTTTTTTTCAGAAGCATAGTGTTGTATAGCTTTAGCTTTATTAAAATTAAATGTTGTATTTAAGCTCTTAACAGAGTAAAGGTCCTCCCATCAAGCAACAGAACCATGGCTCTGTGTAGTGCATCCTCTAAATTTAAAACTTTAAAAATGCTTTCAGTTCAGTCAAATTAAAATAAGGATTTCTTTCTTAATTGCTCTTTAAGGGTACACTAACCAATGTACTTGATTTTAACTTGCATATCCTGGCTTTAATCTTACCCTCTTTTGTGTGGAGTTCTACTAACTCCTTCTTCTAGGAGCGTATAGAGCAGACAGGAAAACTTGGTTTCTTTTCTCCTCTCACACTTCATGGTTCTGTGGTCCTAACTGATGGTTGATAGAGAAGTGACAACCCCAAGGAAGTGAGCTCCTTTTGTGTCCCTTGAGTTCCTAATGTCTTTAGGACAGGAGATGAAAGAGGCATCTGTCTTTTATGCTTTAATACAGATGTTTTTTGCTGCAGTTTTAGTATAAGGAGAAAAGATAAGATATTTTCCACTTACTAGGGTTACAGGCTGACTTCTAGAGGTAATATGAACTGGGGAACAATAGAGTGGAAGTGATTACCTGCTAACAATCTTTGATAAGGTATGGCTTGTTGCACACATCCTAATGGCAAGTAACTAGAATTTCTAGAGAATTGCTGTTCCTCAAAGCTTGAAGTAACAGTGTTTGTGTTTTGTGGGTAGTGCTTCATCCTTGCTTGTATTACTTTAGTAGTGCTTGAAGTGTTGATAAGTTGCTTACTTGCTATGGTCTGATTGAAAAGAAACAAAGGGTAAAATTCACAAAAAACCCTAAAGTTGAAGTATATTCATCTCTGCTACCTGAACATGTGATCACATGCTATTTGTTTGCTTTGTTCAGAGTGCAGATTGAAAGTTAAACAAATAGAATACTGTTTATTACGTTAGTCGATGTAAAATAATGTTTTAATTTATTTTTAAATTATCAATTTAGTACTTTGTTCTGCCTAGGTTCTTAATTTTTACTGAGGATGTGCTTCATACAATGTACCTAAAAGTGAAGTTTAGATATAAAAGGAACAAGTGAAGTCGTGTGCCCTTTAGGAAGATAAAAGATGTGGTTTGGAGAGATATTTCAATGGCTTGAAATCCCTACAAGTTTGATCATTAGGGTTCTATTTGAGTAATATTTTTATGCTATCTAGCCAACTTTGAAGTATTGACAGCGTCTTTTTTTATTATCTTTGTCTGTCATTTTATATGGATTTTGTAGAAATTTAAGGTAATCTAGGGTTGAATTCCATGTGCCATTCTAAACACACTTTTAGCCTGTTATTATAGTAACAAATATTTGGAAGTTTTTGAGTGGTGTAAAGATCCTTTTGTAGTTGAATTAAGCATAAAGCTCTTACATTACTCTTTAAGCTATTACAGTTGAATGAAGTGATTTTTCCTGTGAATTGAACTCATAAGAGTGTTGTCTGCTAGCTTTGTGGAATTTCTCCCTTTCTTAAGTCAGAATATGCAAGTCCTTTATTGCATTAGCTGAAAGGATAAAACACACCAGACAATAATACCAAATATTTCCTCCTGCTTGCTAGACGGAGATGTGATTACAGACTGCCTAACTCAAATGCCATCCAGTCGAGCAGGTTACATTGGTAGTACATAGACAGTGAAAATTAAATCATACTGATGACAGCTATCCCTTGAAAGTGCTCAGTGTTGTTGGTTTTTTTGTTGTTGTTTTATTTTTTTAAGTGTTGGTACATCAGTGTAAGTTTAAGTTGCATGGTGGGGGTGTTCGACACCACTGGTGAGAGCCTGATGTCTGATCACACCCATGTGTTACCACTGTGTCACCACACCACTGATGCCTTTTAATGTTGGAAGAGGGTGGAGCTACCTAGTATGGATGATGAGTTTTCTGCTTTGAGCCCCGTTTTCATCCCAAGTATAAATTATGTATCTTACTCTGTTTAAGCTGTACTGTGACACAGTCTGAAAGCTGAAGTGATGTGTGTGTTTCAGGTCATCTCAAGGGGATTTGATTGCTTGGATAGTCCATTGACAATTAGCTGTCAGGGGACTTGAAAATTCTTGCATTTGATTTGATGGTGGCCCCCCATTTTTTACATGGTTTAAGGTGTGTTGGTTGTGTGGTTAAACCGTGCTTTGATGGTCTTCACACACCTGGTCTCTCCTGGATGACTGATGACCCATGTTAGAGTCATTACATTTGATGCATTTAGAATGACAGGCGGGTATTAGTTTGCTCCAGTCGATACACAGAACTTGGCAGCTTGTTCCTAAAGATAGATGGGCAGTGCAATACTATTCAGTTCTAATGCTATTTGTGTTTTACCTATCTGTGTTCTCTCATTTCAGAGAGACTTTCTGTAGCACAGATTTCTGGCACAACAAATGGCTTCCTGTGTATTTAGTGTAGCTTCAGTATTTTGGTTGAATGTATATGACACATAATTCAAATATCTGTCATCAGTATCCTCTTTGGAGTGTATTAATATTTCTCTATTTCGCCTGTATAGGTAGGGTCTTCAATGAACACCTTTTGGAGTATTTCACTTTCTTAGAGGAGATGGTGCTTTTTGCTTCAGGCTTACATTACAGGGTTGCATTTTTTTAGTAGAAATTAGATTCCTTGATTTCAAGTTCTAGTGTTGCCTAAATAAGACAGTGGCTGCACTGCTGTTTGTTTGGTAGGTTTATGTCAGCATTGTATCATCAAGGTGAAATAATGAATGAGTGTAAATTTTCTGTCAGTGTCTGGAAAAATAGGGAGGAAGCATTTAAATGGAAGATGATGGTATCCTATAATTCCCTGGAATAATATTTAAAAGCTCAATTCATTTTTGATATTCCAGAGGATCCAGAGCTATACTGTCGTTAAAGAAAGATATTTGCTATTTGAAATTTTATATGCAATACTAAAATGACGTGTTAATAGGTAATGTGATGAGAGGCCTCTGAATTAAAACTGGACAACAGTTGGATTATGTTTTTTTCTTTTTTCTTTGGTAGGAGCTCTGGAGTTCCTGAATATAACTAAGCATTGATAATTGTAGAACCCCAGTGTCAAATTGTAGCATTGAAGCAAATAGCATTTCCTGCTAGAAATTTTGTGGTCTTTGTTAAGCTCTGAAATGTTCTCCGAAACTCGGCTGATTATCTAGTATCTTAAAAGTCTATTAATACTAATTTTGCTTCCTAAGCTTTCTTTCTGTTTGGGTTGCATGCACTGGGCAGGGAGTAGACAATTCTGCTGCCTCCTTTTGTAGTGCTGTGTCCACTAAAGTAGTACACTCTCTGCAGTCAGTTGTACTAAAAGGACTTTCCTTACCCTTCTGGAGAGGAAAGCTTATGAGGGTAACTTCTAGGCTGTTCTTGTTTGAGTGACTTTTTTTTGTTTTGTTTTACTCTGACTCTTCAAAGCTTTCAATTTAAAATGAAGTAAACCTTGTGTATATGTACTAATCTTGAACTTTAGCTTTTCATATTTGCCCTTGTCTACCAAGTTTTCATTCTAAAACACATCTTGTTCAACCAAAATGATATTAAGGCATCACTTTACGAGGTGTAAAGATACTATTCAGGAAAGCTACGCAGTGAGTGATCAGGAGCAGGAAGAAGAAGAAAGGAACAAAGCAGAAAGATTAGAGAAAGATCTGTAATAGGTAAAGAAACCTAAGGAAGGAAGTGCTCATGTTGTACCATCTGCAGGCTCTGAATGGCACTTCTTCCTCCAGCCAGGTTATTTATGGTCTTAATTGTGTACGTTTTCAGTAGAATTTGTCTGCTTTTGCAATATATGCTTTCATGCTACCAGAGGATACCGCTTCTCTAGTTGGCATCTCTTTTCTTGCATCTTCTTGGTAGTGTTATCTCTTGCAGGGGAGAGCAGAAGGAAAAAGGGCAGGGAATGAGAGAGCTTGACAGTGTATGCCTTGTATTCTTACAGACTGTGGTTGGTTTTTAAAACAAGAGGGGTGTGTGTGTGAAATAAAGGTGGGAGAGGCAGTAAAGGGCCCCAAAAGTATGGTTAGAGGTTTTTAACTAGGACGGGCAGGAGTGGTGGCTGGGCTACAAGTAGCCTTAACTTTTCTTTTGTGTTTGCAGCCATTCACCTCTTTGACTTATGGTTTGGCTGTTTCTCGTTACTTCTCAGAGTTAATTTCATTCTCCTTAATCTTTAGCTTTATAAATATTATATTCAGGTGTTTCTGAAGTTAATCTTCCTAAAGAACACAATTTGCATTGCAACTTCATTGAGTTAATTTCAAGGCAATTAAATATCTAAATAGAGATTCAAAAGACATCGTTGTAATGTGTATATGGTGTTCTGCTTGAACTTTGAAGGTTTCTGTAAAAAGTTAACTGGCTGGTACTACTTAAGTGGAACATTTCTTATGTGGTGAAGTGAGGATCTTTGCACCTGATCAAAAGTAACACCTTGAGGAGAAGTTTCAGAAATGTGTTACCAACATAAACATTTATTAAATTAAATTGGGTTAATCCTGAACATTGTTTTTGAGAAGTAACTGCAATCACTAGACTGGAAAGATTGTTGTAATTAACTCAGCCATAAAGGGTGAGTTTTAAAGCTGTTTTCAGTCGTTCTCATACTAACAGAATTTTCTTACACATTTGCTGAATGTGTAGAATAGATAGAAATATTCCTTTTTATCTTTAACTATAACAAAGCCAAACTTGACATTTCTGTGTTCAACATACATAAATTTTCTTGGTTCATTTTTGGTTTTTGTTTGTTTATTTTGTCCTTTTTCCTCCCTCCCCCTCTGTTCTACTATGTAGAGAAGCTGCAGGCAGTTTTGCAAATTTCCAAGCCGCAAATGGAGGTCTATAATGACAGTACTAACCTGGCATGCCGCAATGGACATCTCCAGTCAGGTGGGTTTGGTTTTACCAGCACCTATTGAGGGGATGTCTCTCAGTTCCTGCTGTATTTCAAGGCACAATAATGCAATGCTATATTCTGGCCCCACCAGCTTTAAAATAAAATTATTTATGTTTCTGTTTTTAAAGTCATTGTATAAAATACATCCCATCCTTTCCATGGCTTTGACAACACTGTTTTATTTTGTAGTACTCAGTTTTCTGTTACAATGACTGAATTCAAATCTATTTACTAAAGCAACATTTCAGAAAATATCTCGTGTAATGTTCTTCAAGGAATTACATTAAACCTGTTTTAGAAAGTGTCAGTGTTGGATATATAGGTTATATGTTGTGCCTGCATTAATTAGCTCTTCCTTTATGATATTGTGAATATGCATTAAGCAACTTTAAATTTCAGGGGGTTTTTATGTGAAGAAAGTGATACACAATTGAAATGAGGGGGGGAATGACAGCAGCTCTTGCATTTTGTCAAAGAATGTTGTTTTAATCCTTTCCCAGAAGACTGAACCAAACTTGCTAAAATAGCAGAAATAAACTTTTTTTGTCCATAAACAGGGTGTAAAGTTGTGGAAGTCCAAGGTTTACCCAAAGTACTGAACTTTTGCAGCTGTGGGATCCCAGTACAGTACCATTAAAGTCAGGCTATTAACAGGCATCTGGATTTCTTAAATGGCTAGTGGCTGTGCTCTTGTGCTTCCTTTTTCTTTTCTGGGGTGTAGGACAAGGGAATGTTTTTTGTAAGAACTTACCAGTAATACAATTTTTTCTTAAAAACAGTGTAAAAAGGTGATTGTGCTTCAATCTGCTAATCATCTTGTTGTTGTTTTTCCTTTATACATGTAAAACAATGTTTTCATATAGACAGCTCTAATCATTTAGAAACACAAAGTAGATAACAGAATTTCTTAGAAAACTACTAAATCAGTTTGCAGGCTACTTCAGATAAGAGGACTGTTGTCACTACCTGAGAAGGTAGAGGTACTTCAGAGATATTGAGCCACAGGGCTCTGGCATAAGCTTCGTTTTTCTGTCTGTGGAAAGTATTACCTGCCCTGTTGCCTAATCAGGTTGGGCTTTTTAAAAGTTCAGTGTTTTATGAAGTATGAAACATGGTCATTCTTACTTTTAACATAAACAAAGTGTCTTTTTGCCCGTCATTTGGTCTAAAATTACATTGCTTCCTTTTATTTGCCTTTAAAGGCTAGTCTTTACTGATGTTTTTACTTCATAATTTTGTGTAAAATTCTGTTCTCACAGTATGTTGTGCATTTTTTATATTCCCGAAGTGTTACTGATTTGAGATTCTTCATTCTCTCAAGATGACCAATTTACTTGATTCTTACACAAATGACTGCCTATCCCTTCAGCATTTGTGGTTTCCAAACTTACATGAATAGCTAGAGATTTTTCTTTAAAGTTTATCTTCCAGATACAGACTGAGGTTTTCAAGACCTCGTAGAATATAGTATCACCTGCCCTTCAGTTGCAGAGGGCTATGCAGTAACTTGTCTAAAGAGTAATAACAACTAGCCTTGACCCAAACCTTTACTTGGAAATAGTATTAATTTAATATTCATCATTCTCCTTCTCATAGTCTTAAATTAGATGTAAAACAATATGCCTGTATTTCCCCCCTCAAATGTGCTTGTTTTCCTTTGCATTGTGGATTATTGCTTTCTTTCTTTTTTTTTTTAAACAAGCTAGGGAAGAAGATTATGCCAGTCTTGCCAAAGGCAGAGTTTGTTTTATGAACTCATTTACTAGTCATGCAATACTTAGAGTATTACAGTAATTCCAGTGTATACCATTTTACGTGTCAATCTCAGCATGATGGATGGCCAGAGAAAGCATTACATATCTGTTACCTCAACATGAATACTGTGCAGCTAGCTAGTATTTTATCTCAGTTTTCACATGGAAGGAGTAGCTGGCCTGTCTTCAATAGAAGACATATACATGCAAAGATTGTCATGGTGCAAAAGTTTTATTTTTAATACCGAAGTTTTCAAAGCAGTTCTCTGAAGCAGAAGAACAAGTAGCAGTAAGATTGTTTTTAACAGCATAATTTGACAAAAGCTGATCTTTGATGTGGCTCTGTCAGTTCAGAAAGGAGAGCAGCTGTAATTCCTGGCTTGTGTAGCTGTGCTACCATTGAAAATATCCAGCATGTCCTTCTTAGTTGCTGGAGTTTTCTCTTAAGTAGCTTTTATTATTTGCATCTACGTATTTGAAAAATCTGAATTGAATTTTTGAAGAATTGCAAATTTGGGGGGCTACTGTGAATGCTGATCCTGAATAATGTTCAGTCTTGTAATTGCCGCAAGTTTAAAGCGGCAATTCAAAGTTTTTTGGGTTTGTTGTTTTTTTAAAATGAAACTACATGCATAATGTTACAGATAATTTTAGACTAGTAGTTTTTTCTTCCAACTTGGTGTCCACAGACTATGTACAGTAACTTGTTTTAGTCCCTTTATATTATTTATCAATGGGCAGATGTAGGGAATTTCTGAGGAATATCCCCTGATAATTTTTAAGATGTCACAACTAAAGACTGGAAATGGTTTTGCAGTACTGGAATTGCTGCTGTTAATTTGAATTTAAACTTTCTTTTGGGTCCTTAAGAAGCTAGAGACTAGCAGAAGCTTGTTTACTGACATGTGCTTTAATCTGGTTGAAATACAGAAAAGAAAATATAATGGATTTGCTTTTTAGATATATAAAGGCTGTTGTTATATTAAATAAATGAGCTACAGCTGCATAATTCTAAGACTGTTTTTGCAATTCTAGGTATTTAATTTAATCAAGCTTCTCTTAGATTTGTTCAAACACATTTGTACTTTAAAACCAGATGAATATAGTATCTATGTAATATGCTAACTTTTAACATTTCTTTCTAAGGGAGTCTGAAATTGGGCACCTTTGTTTGCAGCTTATCACAATTAAACCAATAGAAAGCCCCAGACAAAATTTTGCTACTTTGCTTGTTTGTAACTTATGTTGTGTGTGTATTTGGATGGCAAATGAAAATTGCAGGGATGCTTTCAGGACCAGACAGCTATTATGTCTGTGTAATCCAGTGGTGTTAGCCTAGAGCTATAAAGTAAATTATTCTGCCCAGAATTAGAGAGTAAAATCAAACTGATTAAGCATCCATTACTAGCCTATATGAAGTAGACAGCTGAACTGTTCAGTGTTTCAGATACACTTGAAAAAATTCCGTAGTGTCTCTTTGTGATGAGAACATGTTTTAGGTACTTCCTTATTGTTTTAAACAGAACAGTGAAACATTTGGCAAAAGGCTGCTGGAGATATTATGAAGACATAAAAGTCATTTGCTATGTATTTTCCATCTTTCAGTAGACAACAGAAATGGATAAGAAATGTGTCTGGGGGGTTTTGCATTTGTTACGGCAAAATATGCATCTTGTGTAATGGAACAGTAGGAGCTGTCTGACATGATGTTCACTTAAATACGTCATGCTTTAGAAATAGATAAACTTTAGATATACTGTAATTCTGAACGATTTGATAACATTTTTATTTGTTACTTCAATGAAAATTTGCATATAAAATGAAGCTTCCCTCTGGGATTGACATTCAACAAACAACTACGTTCAGGAGCTCTTCATCAGTGCTTCTTTATGTGCTGCCTATCAGGACTGACAACAAAACCTGTAAACTTACCAGTCTTGAGTCCTGGAGGTGTAGTTAGAGTAAATCATAATTTGTATTAAACTTTGTCTCTTTTCCCTTCCTTCTTCCCTGTTTCCAACTTCCTGAAGTACTCCTTACCTGTGCAATTTTATGACCCTCAAAATTGCAGTATCCATGTACTGTTCTCAATGTGTGGGAGTAGTTCTGGGAGAGTGAGATAATTGAGCAGCATATTAGGGTGAAGGACATGGAGAAAAACTAATTTAGGTTTTTGAAGCCTTCTCACGTTGACTTCAAGCCAGCTGTGCAAATGAGGTTGAGATGGGCTTAAAAAAAACCCAACCAAGCTGAGTGCCACCTTTTGATTAAATTGGACCAGTCAAAGTGCTGAGTAGCTAGATGTGTTAATAGAGTCATATACTGGTTTTTGAACTTGAAAGTTACTAAGTATGCCTAATTTTAAAGAGTTTTTGACTTGGAAATTCCTGTGCAGGAATGACTAAGTATCCAGCTCTGGAGCTCTCTGTGTTTTAGTCAGTAGCCAGTTTTGATGGTTTTTCTTGTTTTCTTTTTGGTTTGTTTATTTGTTTTTAAGAAGAAACATGCTACAGGTAAATATATTTATGTTCTTCCAGTTGCTTTGTTTCTTGCATGTTAATACATCTGCATTGTTTATTGTGACCCCTGCAGAGTTTCTGTAATTCTAAAAAGGGATAGATTTGTGACTGAAGAAACGCTTTAGAAACTTTTTCACTGAGTTGTTAAGGATACCTGCAGGCTGTGTAGAGATTTGGTCCTGGTAGTATCTTTAAAGAGACTGAGAATATAGAAATAATTAATTGATCCTTCCATTATACTGTTTGACTGTATTCTTTGAGATTTTTAAACACAACATTTAAAATTACAAGGCTTTTTGCTTCAAGTATTTTTCATTGAACTGCAATGTTATAAGTTAAAAATTTTTCATAGAGTCACTAATTTCTGTAAAAATCCGAGTTCTTTGGCCTGTTCCTTAAGCCTAGCAGGTCAAATTGAGTTGCAAGTTTCTACAATCCTAGTGAAGACACACGTAGCTGAAATCTGTTTTGAGCTTCCTTACCTCTGATGCCTTATTTCTCTTAGCTAATCAAAAGATTCCTTACTTCTTTTAAAAGGATATAAAATAAGACAGTATTTATAGTTTGCATCGCAGACAACAGTACTGTACTAGACAGTTTCCAGTAGTGTATTCCCACCACAAAAAATACCCTAATGTAAAGCTATGCTTTAATCATTAACCAGCCTGACCAACCTGCCTGCTTGCTGTATCACCTTCTTACCTCTTAATCTCTGATTTGATATTTTACACTTGCCATTTCTGTGCCAAGGAACTTTATTATATCGTGTATCCCATACAGAGAATGTAGACATCAAGTGCTGTCTTGTTTACTCTGGATCAAAATGGCTTTTTCTAGTTTGATGACCTGTGGCCAATATTTCAAGCTTATCTGTCACCTAATTTGAGACGTTCCAGCTTCATCATAAAGGTGAATAAGTAGTATGAGTGGAATGTCTGGTGATGTGTAAATATATTTTAAGACTCAATTTTAAATGTAGGAAGGTAAGCTCCTTCAGGGTTGTCTATTCAGAATTTACTTACACCTCAAGATTCCTAAAGTGAAAGCGAGTTGAAAGAAAAAACACCTGACAGTCACTTGCAAGTATAACTACTACTATGACTTTTCCAGATTAAAATGTGTTGGTGAAGCTGCTGTGTGGAAAGTGCTAGATAATGTTAGCTGGCATCCAATTAACTAGCCTGCTAACATCACTTGAAGAATCAATACTCTGAAACTAAAGGCTTGAAATTTGGGGGTTATTGTAATGATTATTTTTAAGAGTTGTTGAGAAAGAAGACAGCAGAACACAAGCCAGAAGACTTTGCATCATAAGGAATAGATGGAATTCTTCCCTCATCAGGAATAAGTTATCTCTGGCTTTTCTAAGATGGTTAACTAGGGTTTGTTTTGAGAGCTCCTAAAAACTAGAATTTTAACTGTAGGTGAAAGCAGTCATCAATATCCCCTTAAAAACTGTAAACCTCTTTAGAAATGTGCATTTTTCTTCTATTATGCAGTATTATGTATTTCAACAATTCTATTTTCTAGTTGCAGTTGATGATAAAAGTACAACTGCTGCAAATGTTCTTATGACACTGGTTTTCTTTATAGAAAGTGGAGCAGTTCCAAAAAAGAAGGACCCCTTAACACACACGAGTAATTCCCTTCCTCGTTCAAAGACTGTTGCAAAAACCGGATCCACAGGCCTTTCAGGTCACCACAGAACGCCCAGCTACAGTGGGGTATCATCATCTGTGTCTAGACCAGCACCTAATGCCACACCTTCAGCTCACAAGGTATAGTGAGGATAAATATGGAAGTATACACTTGAATAATCAAGTGTAAATTCCAGAAGAAGCTTTGTATTTAATACCTTAATTGCAGTGTTGTAACAATAGAGAGTTTTTTGGAAAAAAACCTGAAACTGCTAGTTTTTAGCCAGGCCTCTTGAGGTATGCTGCAGAGTGGATTTTAGAAGTTGGAGGGCGTCAGGTGGGTGCATGGGCAAGAGGATTTTAAGTATAATCACAGTAATAAATACTACTTGTTTTTAGAATTGCATGGGAAGCTGAGTGAAAGTTACCTAGAAGAAAAATAAATAGAGAAGTATGTAAAAGATGGAGAGATAAACCTCTTAGTCCAGAACAATAAGATCTTTCCCCCTGCATGTTCTTTTCTTCCAAAGCTTATATGCATGCACAGGTTGTTTTGCAGCCACATTGAAAAGCAAATTATGGTTAGGCTGGGACTGAAACACAAAAGTAAATCTATAGTAAGAATACAGAAAAAGACAGCATTTCTGTCAATACATCTTTTTCCCTTCCATCTTATTACCCAGTAAAGTAGAATAAAGAGCCAAATGGACTGAACATAACCGTTCTGTTAAAACCTGATTGTTGCTATAATATAATGTGAAGACTTTTAAGTGGCCTATTACAAAATATGACAGCAGTAGGAATTCTTGCTTACAGATACTGAGAACTTGAGATGGTTTGTGGTGCTTATTTCCAGAGTATGCTGGGGGAAAATACTGTAGTTAAATAAATGAGTTATCAAACAAAAAGCTCAAACCTCCTTCACTACTGGAGCCTAAGATATTCTTCTCATGCTGACTAATATGATAGTATGATTTGTAGCAAAATACAGCATTAGAATATTAGGTATTTGTTAAGACATTGTTTTACTGGAGCAAATGAAATATAGATCTTATTTTGTTTAACACTACACTTTCAAAGTATTAATGTGGAGTTGGTTCTTTTGTTCCCTTCCCCCCCTCTCCAGGCTGCTCCTAAAAATAGCAGAACAAATAAACCTTCTACTCCAACCACTGCTCCTCGAAAAAAGAAAGACACAAAGATATTTAGAAATGTGGACAGCAATCTTGCTAATCTTATCCTAAATGAAGTTGTTGATAGGTAAGTAGGAAGAGTAGTAGGCTTGTCGATCCAGAAATCAGTTTTGCATTCAGTACAATCTTGGTCCACTTGGAATGAAATTAGTAGTTCTACTGTGTTGGATTTTTTTGGAGGAATTTTTGGATGGGGTGGTTTTATTGTTACTTTGGCAAAAGGATGTTTTAAAATACTTAACAATATCAGTTGTAGATTTTCTCAGAAGGGTTCTGTATAAATAGTCAAATGCATTAAATTAGTCAGCTGCAGCTGAAAGAGTATCTCATTGTTAGACTAATTAGTATTCCATTTCTTTGTTAGTGGGCCAGCTGTGAAGTTTGATGATATCGCAGGACAGGAGCTGGCTAAACAAGCTTTGCAAGAGATTGTTATCCTTCCTTCTCTTAGACCTGAGGTAAGCAACTGGGTCTTGTTATCAATCTGCAACAGGATCAAAGAAATGTGCTTCACACGTGAAATGATGATTCTTGAATCCTGTTTTGCTTCTTATGATTGCTATGGGTAGCTGTGGGGTCCGAGTCATTTTGGAAAAGAAGAATATAGAATTTATGTGTTAAAATACTACCATATAATTCCTTGTCTTCTGGATAATCTATGTTGCAGAAAGCAACTGGAGCAAGGAAATAAAGGAACCCCCCAAAAAAACTCAAGCCCAAAACAAATCAGCAAACCACAAACCCCTAAAGAAACCAAACAAAGCCACAACATCCCCACAACCCCATAAAACAAACAAATAGCAAAAGCAAACAAACAAAATTCTCACCATTTGTCAGGCTGACTGTTCCAGATAGCTATAGCTGTGTGTCCAACCCTATATGGCCATGTAAAGGACAAAGCCCACAACTAGAAGGGTGAAATGGGAGAGATTTGTATAGGTAAATTAGGTCGTGACTCTATCTGATTTGGAAAATGTTATTGTTACTGTGGTCGTCCTCTCTGTGAGGGTGTTGAATAGTTTATTCACAGATGGAGAGGATGCAAAAAAGTGTACTGAACAAACAAAAACACTGAAATATATAACATTTGAGAGCAAATTTCTTTGCTTGACTGTATGGAAGTTGATCATTTAGGCTTTTATTTATCATAGATGGTACCTCAACTACTGCGACTGCCTAGGTTCAGGCCTAGTCTACATACTTCTGGAATTTTCTGAGCTACTTTTAAGAAAAAATTAAATTGGTAATTTTCTGAAGCTGACCTTACTAAAAGTTGCAGTACTTTTGAGGAAATTGCATGCAATGATTTCCTGCAGTGCTCTCATGAGACCCCACCTGGAGTGCGGTGTCCAGTTCTGGGGTCCCAGCATAGGGAGGATATGGACCTGTCGGAGCAAGTCCAGTGGAAGAACACCTAGATAATCAGAGGGCTGGGAGCACCTCTCCTGTAAGGAATGGCTGAGAATTTGAGTTGTTGAGCTTGGAAAAGAGAAGGCTCCAGGCTGACCTTATTACATTATTTCAGTACCTGAAGGAAACCTAGAAGAAAACTGATGAGGAACTGTTTACAAGGGCAGATAGTGACAGAACAAGGGAAAATGGCTTCAAACTGAGACTAGGTTTAGATTTGGCTATTAGGAAGAAATTATTCACACTGAGGATGAGAGACACTAGAACAGATTGTCCAGAGAAGTTGTAGATACCCCATTCTGGAGTTTTCCAAAGCCAGATTGGAAGGGGCTTTGAGCAGTATGGTGTAGTGGAAAATGTCCCTACCCATAACAGGGAAGTTGGAAGCAGATGATCTTCCAAGTCCCTTCCAACCTAGCCCTAATTTACGATTCTGTGATGATTGAAGAAAAATTGCTGTTTGTACTTCTTGTTTGCTTGTGGGTCTCATTTGTTACATGTACAGGTGACTTGAGTTGCTCTGTGGTTTTCCCCTTAATGCAGCTACTGGTTTTGAAGTAGCATAGGGAAGAAACCCTAAACCTGGCACAGCATAGGAGCTGTAAGGAGAACAAAGCTTTGTGTGCTCAGATGTTGTTATGCAGAAGGAAGATGTCATTACAACATCTCTGTTACTACAGTGCCATAGTATATCAAGTGTGTTGTTCAGTGACACCAGTACTGTGAGCTGGGTGGGAAGGATTTGGAGATGGGAGGCTTGGAGTAGCTTTTCCAATAAAGTGGTATCTTCGATAAGGTTGTCTCATATTACTGTAGCTAGCAATGGGCCTGACCTTGGTGTAGGTTGAGATTGAATAAGGACAGAGAATCCCATGAATTTTTAACTTTCCCTTGGAAGTAGAGAGGGTTGGTTTTATTCCTTGTAAATGAACACAGTAGACATGACAACTATAGGGGGGGATACTTAGTAAATTTACACTAATTCAGTTTGAACGAGTTTTGAACTCAAATTCATATTTAACAAGCCGCTGGTATTTTTGTAGGAGAGCAAAGGTTGAGGTAAATAAGCAGGAAAGATTGGCTGCAACTGTTTCAGTGGTAAGATGCTAATGGAATGGTAGCAGTTAGTTCAGACCATGTTCAGTACAATCAGCCTGTTAACAAAAACGAAAAGCTTTGTGTATCTCAGTAATAAATGTCAGTTCAGCTGAACTGTAGGTGATGATCAAGGTGAGGAAGAGTTACAGATTTGATCTGAGCTGTGTGAAAATGGTGGAACTCTCCAAGAACTATTTCAAACAAAAGAAGGAAGACAAAAAATGCACATGGTGGTATGCAGCGTGGAAAGTAGAAACACTGGAGTGTTCACTCGGTGAATAGCTGGGTAACTACTTTAGGGATCAGAGTCAAGCACAAACAAAATGCTGTGGATGATGAAATGGAGCTATTTATTGTCATAGATACTGTGGAAAGGAGTGCCTGCTGACAATGCTGTTTACACATGGGATGTATATGAGATACCCTCCTATTGCTTTTGCTTGTTTATTGGAATTCTTGGAAGCTGGAAGGGAGGGGGTGAGTGTGAGACCAAAAGAGAAACTCTGAAACTTTTGAGGGAAGGGGTATAGACAAAGTGCTAGAGAAAACAGGCAAGAGTAATAACTAAAAGTTATGCATTCTGTGAGAATTTGTAGACTTGCTGGCTGTGATGCTACATATGGTGGGGGCAATTTTATAGAGTAGGAAAGATGAATCAAGGGCAAAGAGAGAGAAAGGGGTTGTTAAGTAATATTTTAAATCATTTAGTTGAAAGCTTGTCTTCTCAAGTTTCATTTAATAAGGAAAGATGAAGGAGTTCTTCCATATGGAGTTAGTAAGAACACTACTTTAGCTTTCCTACTGTACACCTGCATTACTCCTTTTTTAACTGGAACTGATGCTTTAAACTTGATAGGCTAGTCTGTCTTGTGGAAAGTGTTTTAAACTGCTTTCACAGTGCATCCAGGCATAGCACGATTAGAACATAATTTAGCTGCTGTGTGGGAAACAATAGTGGTGTGCATTAGGTCAAGTTACTAACAGAGTGTAGTTCTCTCAAAGCCTGGACTGTTGTGGCATTCACTGCTACTGTTACTATATCAGTGCTGGCCGGTGTCCTCAGTCTTAAACCATTCTCTTACAAATGCAAAGCAACATTTTATTCAGGTCTTTGATGATAACACATGATGATGTCCTTTTCAGTTATTTACAGGTCTGAGAGCTCCCGCACGTGGTTTATTGCTGTTTGGCCCACCAGGAAATGGAAAGACAATGTTGGTGAGAAAATTACTTCATGCATGAGTTGGTGGGCTTAAAATGTAACCACAAGGGGTGGCTTTCAGTTTGGGGCTTGGACTAATAGTACATTCTTACAGTATGTGTATTATGGTGTCATTTTATATATAAAAATGCAAAAATGTTCTTAACTGTGGATTTTATGGAGGGAATTGCTCAACTCTTCTCTCGTCAATTATTTTCTTTATGACAAGTAATATTTTAAAACTTAAACCAGCAAGTCCAGGTTTCATTTTCAGAGAGAGCAAAAGGAAGTGGGTTAATTGTTTTGTACAGCAGTGATTAACCAGAAATTTTCTGCTCTCCACTGAAACATACTAGAAGTACATTTTGGAATTGGGGAGCGAGCACAGTAGCAAAAGAAGGGATTGTCTCACTGACACACTGCTGTGCAGAGTGTAAGGACTGTGGAAGTGCCTGGCCACAGCTTTTTTTCTCAGCTTGATGTGCTAGATCCAGGGAACTGCAGTCCTGTGTCTGTGCATCAGGCAGGGAGCATCGAGTGTCCTGATGCAGCTGAGCCAGGCACATCGTCCTGATCACATGGTGTGGCTGCAGCTGCACACTCTGCTGACACTGGAGCTGGATCAGCTCTGAAGTGCAGGAGTGGGAATGTAGAGCAGCTCATGTAGGCTCATCTGTTATGTTTGACATACTGGAATATAATTGCTAGTCACTAAAATTAGACTCTATAAGCAGGGAATAATTTTCCTGAATGTGGTGAAACTGTTAAAGAAGAGAGTAGTTTGAATGAGCATTCCAGCTGATTATTTGCCCTAGCTTTCCTCTAAAAACAGCTTTTGCATAAATAAATGAGGGGAAAAAAACACTGTAATTTTTTTATGTTATTTGATGTGATTTTTATGTGATTTGATGCCTTAAACTACTTCCCTGAATTAGTTAAAACTGGCTTAGATGTCTATTCAGGATAAATTGAAAGGAAATGGAGACTTTTATTCTTCTGAAAGCAAGTTGTAGTTGGCTATAGAGCTAATGGGATTAGAGAAGTCTATGGGAGTCTATTCATTTGACTGCATAGCCATTCTCATTTGAAGTGGCCTGGACAGAAGTTTTCTGTTCCATTTACAAGGTGCTCCCTTTGAAGAAATAGGGGAAACTGTCCATCAGGACATGAGTGGTCACTATAGATGCAGAGAACTATCTTCAATATGATAGTTTTTAAAAATACTTTTGTTCTTCCCCCCTTTCCTAGGCCAAAGCAGTCGCTGCAGAATCAAATGCTACTTTCTTTAACATCAGTGCAGCGAGCCTGACTTCAAAATATGTAAGTAGTGGCTGTAAATTAGATCGATTGGAAAACACCCATGCTTTAATTGGGGCTTAAGAAAACCATAGACTTCTGATGAGTCCTTGGTGAACTGTTTGCCTATAATGAAAATAGTTTTTAAAAAATTACTTGTGAAGTTAAAAAATTTTGTTTTGTGCTTCTGGTAAATCAATGTCAAAGGTTTTTTCAGCTCAGCAATGGCACTGGCAGTAATGCAAATGGGTGATTGTGGGGTTTTTCATCTTTAAAAAGTGAGTTAGTTGAGTCCTAGCTCTCTTTCAGTGTGGTAATTTAGGTACCAAAATCTCTTAGCAGTTAACTCAGTTGTGATAATAAGAGAAGTTGCAGTCGTCTTCTTAAGATGTAAACAATACCGTATGTATGGAGCCAGTGATAATCTGAATATGTATAAATGGACTGAGTGTGATTGGTTGCCAGCAAGATTTTCTGGGTCCTTCTGTTAGCTGTCTTGTAGTAAAAATTTTTAATCCCCTAAAACACCAGTTCATTGTTATTTTAGGTTGGTGAAGGAGAGAAACTGGTGCGTGCTCTATTTGCAGTAGCCAGAGAACTTCAACCTTCTATAATTTTTATTGGTAAGACCTTAGATGTTAACTTTTATTTACTTTCTTAAATAGTCTTGCTTACCAAAGATTATTAAGTAATTAACTATTGGAATAGTTGGGTAAATTTATTTTGAGTAATTCTGCAGTTCAGGACAACTGTCTCAGGTATGACCTGCTGGCCAATCAGTAGTTCATATAAAGCATGTCAGATTACTGTTATATTATTTAGGTGGTGCTAATAGTGGGAAGAGGTGCTCTCGAAAAATACTGTACTTCATTTACGGAATAAATCTGTTAAATTTCAAACGTGAAAATGTGTTTTGCTTGTCCTGAGTAGCAGTTTATCATCAGAGAGATGATTTTTTTATTTTTTTCCACCCCTCGTGTGTGCTTGGCGTTACCTATTCAAAGGCCAACACATCACGCAAGTTTTTAAACTTTCCTAAGATCTGTCAGTCTCCTAAAGGATGAAGATCTGGTCTTGTTTAATAGAACCTTCTATTAGCAAAGGAGCTTAGGCAAATCCAAAAACTTTGATGTATGCTTAACTAAGATGTTTTTCTTTGTTTTTTTAGATGAAGTTGATAGCCTTTTGTGTGAAAGACGAGAAGGTGAACATGATGCTAGCAGGCGTCTAAAAACAGAATTTTTAATTGAATTTGATGGTGTAAGTATTTAGTCTTATTATTATTGGATTTAGCTAAATTGGCTAATGTAGTGGGTGCCAGTACAACCTGTAGGTGAGTTACAAAGGGTTTGGCTGCTGGGGCTTAGCTCAGCCTTCCTACCACCTCACCATAATTGGCAAACAGCTTTTTTTGGTTGTTCTTCATTTTCTACCTGCTTACTGTGGTATTCCTGAAGATGCAGGCTGGACTGAAAAGTAGCAATCTGGAGATGAGCTGTAATAACGTGTTGGAAGATTATGGACAGAGAAGAAAGGATAACAGATGGCAGTAGTAAAGGAGCTGTGAGGACAACTGTTCTTACAGGGCAAGAGGGACATTTGAGGGTCACGGAGAGTTGAATCCATGTTTGCAATTGCATAGCTTGATGAGTCACTTCTCTTTATTCTGGCAAAGCAAAAGAAGATTAAATGACTTTTAAATAGTTTTTGGTTTCAAAGGAATTTGTGTCACAAGCATGCAATGTCAAGGGGTGAGGCTTCAGGGATAAGGATTTCAAACAGGCTAGTTCAGATTATATATATAAGCATGTATAGGTATCTCATGTATACGCAGCTCTGCTGATACATCTTAGTACACCTTTTATCGAACTATAACTTCTTTATTGGCATCATAAGCTAGAGAAGACACAATCCAGTAAGAAGCATTTAATGGCATGAATGCCATTATGGAACTGGATTTCATAGTGGAACACACACACACAAATGAGTATCAGAATATTGTTCTGTCACAGCACTGTTCTTGTATTGAATAATTTTAGTTTTTGTTCCATTAGTGCAATGGAATATTGCTACAGTGGTGAAGCAACAGTAATGAGGTACAGGAGGAGCAGATAACAACATGGAGAGACAGGGAGATTGGGAAAAACTCCAAAATGAAAGAATCAGGACAAATAATGCAATGTAACTTTGATATGCAGAAATGATTACACACACATGCAGAGTTTTCCCTTAAAATGAAAAGGGAAAAATAAGCATAATGCAATGTTTGCTGACTTAATATTTAAGGTGTACGTATGTCATACAGTATTTTTGAGGAACCTTTTTAACATGGTATGGTAGCAGTGAACCTAAATCTATGAAGAATTGAGCACTAAGTGAATTAATGTCTCTGGTAGCCCGATGTTTTGTCTCAAGTGTGGAAGCTCTAAGTCTCCATATTCTTGGGTATAAAATGAGTGAATTGGGAAGGAACTTGCTGTGTCTTTCTGCTATTATGATTATTTGATAGCCTATTTTGATTACTGGATTTGAGCAAGGCCTGTGTTAGATGGATCTCTACTCTGATTTTTTGGTTCTGGCTATACTTTAGTTTAAAATCTTTATTCTCACCCTATAGGCTTCAAAACAGTGTTTGGTGTTAAAACCTCAGAACAGCAGAAAGTCTCTGGCTTTTTCAACATAATTATCTCCTGATGACTAAACTTATGAGTGCCTTTTATAGTTTTATAGTCTCAGTTTTTTCCAGAAAGACTTTTTTCCTACCTTTTCCTGGTTTGACTTTACATTTATCTGAGGAATATTTTAAACCTACCTTAATGGAATAAAACCTCAAACCATACATATATTAAGATCCCCATCAGTGTGCTGAATATATGGTAAGTCTGTAACTAGTTTTGTTGCAGTTCTGCTTAATTGAAATGTAGACTGTGTAAACTGAAAGCTCTCTTGCCTTCCTACATTATATAGGTGCAGTCTTCTGGAGAGGACAGAATACTTGTGATGGGAGCAACCAACAGGCCTCAGGAGCTTGATGATGCTGTTCTCAGGTATCAAAACATCTTTTTCTGAATATACAGCAAGATGATATTGATTATGAAGAACAGGTTTTGGCTAGTATCTTGGTGAAGTTTTCTAATAAGTAAAAGCTGTTCATCAAGGCTAAATTACTTAACCTCTCAAAGACAGGCTTTACTCTTTTCTTTTGAGATGCATCTGCACAATCGTGATAGTCTTGGAATTGTCTAAAACCTGTTAAGATCAAGTGTCTTTTTTAAATTTCTTGAATTTAATATTTTGCTTTTTTGTTATTTGGATCTTAATGGCAGAATAAAGGAGAAGATTTGATCAGTATTGCAGATTGACCAGAAATCCAGCAGTTCTTCTCTGTGAATATTGTCTTCTGGCATCCCATGCAATTACAGATCTTGCTGTAGATTTGCCTTAGGGCTTTTTTTGTTAAAAGTACTCATACTTTATTCTCTTTTCATTCTTGATTGAGAAAAATAGATATGTCAGCACTGCCTGAAGAAATTATTCCAAAGACTTTTTTGTGTAAAAATTAAGAGATGCTTCATTTCATTGCTGGTAGTCAGTGGTATTTCTGCCTTTAGAGTGTTTCCCCTCTGGGAGGAGTCTTATAACTTCGGATAAGAGTAAGGTGGCATCAGTGGCTTGTACATATTTTTTGTTTGCTTGTTGGTGTTTTTTTCGAAATACCCAGTTCTGCTTCCTACAGTTTGATGCTTGAAGTGAAATTTTCACTTCACCAAACCAAATGTTAGATTTTTATGTGCTAAATCATTGCAGAATAGTGTGAACAATGTATACATGTTTGGGTTTTTTACAGACGATTCACCAAACGGGTGTATGTGTCTTTACCAAACGAGGAAGTAAGTATTGTTTTCCACTCATATTTTTAAGACACGGGCAATTCTTAACTTGCTTTTGTGGATTATTACAATTCCGTGAACTAACTTCTGGCTTACCTTGACATATACAATGTACATTAATTCTGGGAACTATTTTAATTTTTGTCTTTTTTTTTTTCCCACTCATACTAGTAGCAAATCTGGTCGTAGCTACTTTGTACCAGGCTTACAGACAGGCAGACATAGGCAAGTCTAAAGTAGGACTTACAGGAGCATGTTTGTTTGGCTGAAGGAGAATGCTTTATTGGAAAAGATAAAAGTAATTTTCCTAATGTTTCTCAGTTCAACAGGGGATCAGGACTTTTGATGAAGATTCTAATGACTTATTTTTGATACTAGTAGTTAGGCTCTTGATCTTGTTTTTACCCAGTCCTTATCTCTACTCCTGAAGAGATGATATTGTACAGTCTAATTGCACAAGCACTCTAGGCAAGTTTAAACTGGTGAAGCACAAAAGCAAAACTGACAAAAGTGTAATTGTGTTCTTGCAACTCAGTTTTAACTGTTCTGTGGAAACAAGTTTTACATCTGATAATTTTCTTTTTTTCAGACGAGATTGATTTTGCTGAAAAATCTTCTAAGCAAGCAAGGCAGTCCATTAACTCAAAAAGAGTTGGCTCAACTAGCTAGGTGAGTGTTTTGTAATAAATATATTCCTCTACTGCATTCATTCAGACTCTTTAATTGATTCAAAATGTAACTAATGTAAATCATCTGACAGCAACAACATGAATTGCATGCATTTGGGGAAGATGGATCCCTGTCAGGCTGTATGAAAGTGCTTTTATATATACATATATATATAGGATACACCCAGTCAGGTTTCTGTTGTTGAAACATGCCCATCAGCTCTTTACTTTGAGGAGGAGGATACTTCTTTCCACCCCATCCCTCAAGGAGTCTAGCTCTCCTCCCTGATGCAAAAAGATAGCACCAATTTTGCACTTGGCATTCGTTTCAAATAAAAGGCAAGTTCTCTTTGCTGGTGCCTCGCTAGGCTTGTTGAATGTATTACCAACATAGAAGAGCAAGCACTAGATAATTTTAGGTTCTTTTCACTTTCAAATTTGATTGGGAAAATGTGGGTTAATTTTTCCCTCCTGTTATGAAACTGAGTTGTTTTACGTTTTTCATCATTGAGATTATCACAGTACTGCTGTTAGTCACCTAAATCTAATAATGGATGTGAAGGAGATGAGACTAAAAAGCAGGTGGGGCAGGAAGGAGTGAAAACAGAGCATGTGATAGCAAAGATAGGCATGTACATGTGGATGTACTTGAGTCTGTTTCTCTTTGTGGTAGTACACCAGAGGTTAGTACAGTCTTGGATGTAGCATTTGTCAGTCTCTTAGTAATGTTGCAGAAGTTGATGTGTAATCCAACTGAAGATATTTCCTCTGTGCTTGAAGGTTGTCAGCCCAGGCCACATGTAGGCTGCAATAATAGCTAACTGGAGGAAAACCACAGTCCTGTATTCTAACTACAAATATAAGAACCAAATTACAAATGCAACTTGATTACACCTTTTTTAAAGGGTTTAGAGAAAATGTAAAAGTTGAGCATCCTGCCTGCTTCTTTTTCCATCTGTCTTTGTTTTGAAAGACAGAAGTATTTAACCTCCATTATGGTTCTGTGTTCCATTTCCCCTCTGCAATTTCTATAAACTATAACAGACTTCAGGATCTCCAGAAGACTAAGCTCTTGTGGCTGCAGCTAGCCATTGCTCTATAAGGGTGGTGTGGTGTTTTTGTTTTTAAACTTCCCTTTAGGTAACCTGTACTAGTCATTTTTACTTATGTTGGCAATTTGTATTGGTGGCTTCCTGGTTTAGTGTGGAGCCTTTCTTCTTCAAAGTATTTCATTGGTTAACTTGGATATTAAGTGTAATTCTGGAACAGCTCCCACAGAGTTTGGCTCCTTGGTTTAACTTTTTTTTTTTTGGTTTTTTTTTACTCCCTACCATGTAGTTCTGAGGATTTGGGTGATCTGTCAGGTTTATAAAACAAACACACCAGCCCTAGTGGGTAGCAGAATTTACCTTCCTTTCAGTTCACTTTCTATCATATTAAACATGTGGTATTGGCTTCTCTCATTTTATTGATAGGATTGAAAGAGTACAGGCCCAGTTGATATTTTGGTTTTACACTAACTGACAAATGTTGATGAACTACTGGTACAGAATTCTAACAGAAATAGTGAATGCGCTTGGGATCAGTTTTCATCTGCAAGTCCTAGTTGCTAATCTTTTTTTATTTTTTTTCCTAGAATGTTATTTGGGACTTGAATATCTGTACTTCAGATTTAATCTGTGAAAGATCACTTGCAGTGAAATACAGATCACTTATAGTGAATGCACTTCTGATTTATTAAACTTGCAAAATAACATCAAAGTAATACTTCTCCTGATTAAATAACATTTTGATTATCTGCAATTAAATTTATGTGGTTTGAAGCAGATTTTTGGTTTTTTTACTTCCTCCTTGACCCCACTTTTTCCTTTGACAAAGAATGACAGATGGATACTCTGGAAGTGACCTAACTGCATTAGCGAAGGATGCAGCCCTAGGCCCCATTCGAGGTAAGCTGCAGAGATTTTTATTGAGGTTTTGACATTGGAGATATATTTTCTTACATCTTTATAATTCTCTAACCTCAGAGATTTAACTTTTTACATTGGATTTTAGTCTGTTCCTCATAATAGCATCTTTATAAGATTTACTTACACAAAACCCTTCAGCATCTCACCATGTGAAACAGTAATTTTTTGTGTCATAGGAGAAAAGCAGTGTGAAGCGTTTCTCACTGATTTGGAGGGTTTTTAACTAGTGTCTTTCTGAGGCTGTCGTCAGTTCTGTTGTAACTAAATTATTACTTGAATGGCAATTACTGATTGCATTACTTGTCTTTATAAGTGGTTCAAATCTCTGCCAAGTCTAAGGGAAGGAAAACTGAAGCAAGCAATTTTTGGGAGTTTTTCTAGATACAGTTTAAATGGTATAGCTTTTTATATTTTTAACTCTTAATGTTGAATTGTGATCCAGATAATAACTGTGAATGAACTAGAGTTTTACTTACATTTGTTCTTTCTCTGACATGTCCAGCTAGGCAAAACCCACAGTTTTAACGTGAATACTTTTTTCTTACACCTCCTCTCTTTGTTCTGTTTAACTAGCTAGTTATGTGTCCAGTAGCCACATCTGAGGGAACTGATCTTGTTTAGTGGAGATCAGTAGTGGGATTTTTGTGTAGAAAAGATTGTGAAGATTTGGTGTTAGTTTTCTGCTTGTAGACACATTGTTGTACTTGACAGAAAGGTACTAAAGCCAGGCAGAGCAGAAGTGTTCTGTAATATCAGCCTATTATGTGTAAATAAAAATTGTTGCAACTCTCTTAAATTATTTATGGGGAGGAGAGGTCTGTTTATGTTTTGTTGGTGTGTCTGTGTTATTTTACATCCTGCAGCATGCATTTTTGCCAGTGCACAATCTCTTTTGGAACCAGCTGCTGGAATGTAATGTTTTTCACCACTTTCTTTCAGCTGCTGAATTTGTAAAGCACATGTTTCACAATCCTGCATAGTAACTGGGAAACAAAACTGCATTAAATGGCTCTCATAAGAGACATCATATCTCCTAAGAATTTGAATATATTTATTTAGAGTGGTGGAATTAATTATGTATGCATTTACTTATGTAGGCTTTACTTTGCTGACAACTCACTTCACACACAAGTCCATTTCATGAAGAGACTGTGTAACATCGTTCTGCACATTTCTTTCACTTGCTCCTGTATTCCACATAAAACCTGTTTTGTGATACCATCCTTGTCCATCCTGCCTGGATTCTTTTTCTTGTACCCTGGTAGCAAAATGTTTGCTGTTACATGTTGATACCATGAGAGTATTGCAAGTAAAAAAAAAAATTGGTGAATGATACAGGAGTATTTAGATCCCATGAGTGCAGCATAGGGCAAGAAGCACTGTGATGTGCCCTGCTTGATTTTATTTCACTGTTCTTGGCTGACTGTACCTTCTGTTTCCTGAGATTCAGTAGGGAGATTGTGGATACCACGAATAATATGGGGGAAGGTAGCTCTGTTGGCTTGTGTGCTGTTTTCCATTCTTTAGGAAGATGGAGTAATTCTGCTACCACTTTGTGCTGCATCTGCAGTAACTGAGTGTGGGAGCAGCCTGTTTGAGGTGCTGATAAATGGGGAAGGAGACAAAAACACCATGTACCTTTCTGTATAGGAGATTGTGTTGAGGCTGAAAGGTATAATTTTTAGCTGCAGGATTTTTTTTCCAGAACAGAAGTGCTTTTAATATGTTTTAGTTGTCAGAAGTGATGAAAGTTTTTGTATTAAAGTCACCCATCTATCTTTATTTTTACAGAATTAAAACCAGAACAGGTGAAGAACATGTCTGCCAGTGAGGTAAGCTATTCTAGCAGCTGTATTTTCCCCTTTGAATAGAATGTTTTCTCACTAGAAACTTTTTAAGATCCCTTTTTGTATGTGTAGTATCATACAAAATAGGATAATTTTGGGGGGTATTATCCTTTTTAATCACTTCTTCATTAAAGAAAATTCTTTAGAAATAGAGATGGAGAAGATCTGTCCTCAGATGTCTGAGGCTCATGGGTAGTTTGTTGGCTTTCAGGCTTCAGAGCGCTTCTTTTTCTGTTAGTAAGTCTGTTCTTCATTTCATCTGACTGTCCTGTCTTTTCCTTCACGCTGAGCTGCAGTATTTGTTAGCTAGCTGATGATGCCAGAGGCCTGGCATTTTTTTTATCACAGTGTTACTTCCCAAGAACATTCCCAGAAGTGTTATGGGAAATTACTTCTACCCCCTCCACCCCATCTTTACATAAAGCAGGTTAACTTAGAGAGAACCTAAAACAGATTTGTGCATGTATATGTGTAATACTTGCATTCATTCACATGGACTATCATAAAAAAAAGGTTAAGCTCCTGACCACAAACTGCAGCTGTAAACATCAAAAAAAAAAAGGAAGCAGTTGGTCCTGTCTACAAAAGTTTCTGTTCAGGTGTGTGTGCAAACCACGGTTACACAGGGAGAAATGAAGCAAAAGGTGATTTCTCAGTTGCTTTTTGTGTTTAGTCTGAGATCGTGGCTAAAGCTGTAAGCTGGAAGGATTTGTTGCAGGAGGGTAACAGCATCCGTGATATTTTCTTGTCATGTCCTCGTATGTATGCATCAGCTCACACTACCTACTGAATCAGGAAGTAATGACCCAGTCTAAGGAGCTATTAAGTAACAAGGCAAATCTTACTATTAGCAAGTATTAGTTTATTAAAAATGGTACATATTGGTAGTATTAAATTACTAGACTCTTGCATCAGGTCATAGAATAATAGAATACCCTGGTTTGGAAGGGACCTTGGAAGATCACCCGGTCCATCCTTTTGTGGGAAAGAGAACTTAGATGAGATTATTTAGCACCCTGCCCAGTCATATCTTCAAAACCTCCAGCAGTGGGGACTCTACTACAAATTCTTGGGGGATTATTGCAGTGAATGACTGCTCTTACTGCAAAAAAAAATTGTTCTTACATCAAGATGCAGCACTTGTAGAAAGTGTTTTGTTAAAAGTGAATAGTCAAGTACTTGCTGAATAGCCCAAAGCACATAAACCACTTGTGACCCTGATGTCTTTCATTTTCTCTTTAGATGAGAAACATCAAACTGTCAGATTTCACAGAATCTTTGAAGAAGATCAAGCGCAGTTTGAGCCCTCAGACCCTGGAAGCGTACATTCGCTGGAACAAGGACTTTGGAGATACCACAGTGTGAGACACTACTTGAACTGAAGCAGTGCTGCCTGGGGAGCAGTTGGTGCAGACAACTGGGAAGCAGCCAGAGTTTACAGGACTTTACAGATATTTAAATATCTGCATTAAAACTTGAGATTAAGAGAGAACTATACAGTGTGAGAAGTGTTCATCCAAACCTCCTTGCCATTTAGTGATGATTTACATACTGTAAGTGAGAGCACAACAGGACTTGAGATAAGATTCCTAGCAATCCGATTCTGGTTTGAACATTAATATATGTATATTGTTTCTGCTACAAGGCCCTGATGATATTGATCATTGGAGGACCTTTCCCTATGTTGTGTGTGTGTGTTTTTGTTTTTAGTTTTGCCATGACATTGATGAACAATGAATTTGGAACAATGATGTTCACTTGGAGGTTTGTAAACTTCAGTTCATTTCTTTGACTTTTTTATCCTTAATGTGCCAAATAAAACAATTTCCCTGTGCAAAGTGGAAGAACAGCATTGGGGAATTAAGATTATTAAAATGTTAAAAGTAGCTGGTCTGTTATTATTTGTCTTTTTGTTTTGTTGTAATTTGACTGAATGGTTCACAGAACAGGATTAAAGACCACCTTTGATAGCAGAACAGCAAAAAAACCCAACCTTGTAAAGCCAATTAAAACTGCCTTTTAAAAGCAAAGTTACTAAATAAAAGAATAGACTGAGATATTCATTTACTGGCAGTATTTTCTCTTAATGCATTTTGTAATGCTTTCATTGGTAGAATGTTAGCTTATGCTTACAGTGTACAACTTGAGCCCAGCTGATGTTTAAGAGAGTAAGTGATGCTTATTGTTGAGTCTCAGAAATGACGTGTTTCTACTCTGTATTTTGGTCTGTTTATGATAATTGAAAGTAAAATTTCCATTGTGATAATTTTTTTAATCTCCACATGTAAGCATTAAAATACAAGGCTACATGTTTAATACATGGCACACATTAATGTTTTTATAGCTTTCATATGTTTTGGTTTATATATTAAAGTATGAAACACTCAACTGATCTGCTTTTTTAAAAAGAAACTGCATCTTTGTACAAATACTTGTTTTTATTATATAAATGACAAGCTATTAAAAAAAATCTCTTAAATGATAGCCTTTAAATACCATAATAAAGGAAAGCATTTTTGCCTTTACTTCTAAAGGCCCAACATCTTGTTTACAAACTCTACACAGATCAAACACAGATGTTTGCAAGGCAGAACACTAGTTCCTTGTTAAGCAGGTTTGTGGGTTGTTGGTTTTTGTGGTTTTGTTTGGTTTTATTTTGTTGGAGGTGTTTTTGTTTTGGTTTGGTTTTGGTTTTTTTTTTTTTGTTTTGTTTTCATTTTTTTTGTTGTTGTTTTAGGTTTTTTGTTTTTGTTTGGTTTTTTTTTTGTTTGTTTGTTTTGTTTTGGGGGGTTTTTTTGTTGTTGTTGGTTTGGGGTTTTTTTGCACCTCTCCCAACTTAGTGATACTGTAAAAATGCATATTGTTTACCGTTGTTTTAATGAAAATAAGTTGTAAGTGTTGTTTGCTTTTGGTCTTAATAGAAAATTTGTTTTTAATTTTTCATTTAACTTATTTTTTTGCAACTACTTACCTGGAAGTTGACTATAAATAATATATTATATGTATATATGAAAGAAACAACAGCCCTAGCTGATAGCAGTTGTAGGTATAGTAATACTCTGAGAGGACTGTGCTCACTGTGTGGTATTGAGTACTAAATAGCTGAAACTCTGTCAAAACTATGAGATGCACATATGTAATATGTTTGGAATTATTTTTATTTTTTTTTTCCAACCAGAGATGCTTTTAACTGATCTTAAGATTAAAAGCAATCAAATAAGAGAAGATTGTGTTCCACTACTATGCCTTTTGAAATAGTCTAACCAAACCACTTCTAGCCTTCTAAGGATAGGACTCTCTCAAATGTATGTCTTATGTAAATCAAACACATGACTAGTGTGACTAGTTCCCCTGATTCACTTTTCTGGAGAAATGCTAAAAGATTTCAGATTTTTAAATCTCATGTCTTGCTTTGCTTTAGTTCTGCCTTCAGTAGACCATCTCTGTTGTTGGAGATTCCTGGCTGACTTGATCTATATTTGTAATATTCTTCAAAGTGCAAAGCATGAAAATTACTGCTGAATTAACATCTGCCAAATAGTTACAGCTAAGAAAGGGCCTTGGTTTATTCATAAAGTTTTGGTAAATATTACTGAGATCTTTTGCAATTGAGAACCTTGAAGATGGTGCTTTTGGCTTCAAGTGTTCCTAAATGATTGTTATAAAACTCTTGGTTTTGTCCACTTAATTTTGAGGAATATACTGGTTATTTATTTCAAATGCATACTCATTGGCATGGGATAGGTACCTGAAATGTTGAGATAGAAGTCCCCATCTCCTAAAGTACTGCCAGTATGCAGCACAAAGAGTCATAATCACCAGCTGCTACATAAAAAGAAAAGGGACCAGCCCTTTCACTAGTTTGTACAACCAGTTCAGGCCAAGAGAATCTGTGTGACTGATACAGCTGCTTTTTGGTCTTCTCTTATACCTGATTGTTTTCTGCTTAGTGGATGAACTACAGCCCTATAAATTAATGCTGGAACAGTAAAAAGATAATTTTGTTCTGCAACATCAGTTTGCCCCACAGCTGCTGGACTCTTAGCCTGTGGCCAGGTGCTGTTTGGTTTCATAAATCTCCTTTAAATGTCTTATGCTATTTTCTGAATACTGTCTTAAGAGTAATTCTGTTCCACTTGAGGCATTATCTTGCATCTTACGCCTCTTTTTACATGTACTATGTCCCACCGCCGTGATTCCATCTCTATGTTGGATTAACTGATTAACTGTATAAAAGCAGATCTGGGGAAAAACAACCACAACAGAAGAAAGCCACCAAACCTTTCCCCTTCCCCAAAAAAAACCCCACAGACTCAAATTACCCATACTTCCCAAGATTTACATAGTACTTATATACAACTTTACAACTATATTTTCCATAAAATCAGGTTCTATTAAAATACAATGTTTCGAATCAGGATAAACAGGACAGCAGTTTGGGTGCTTTTAATCTTTGTAAAGACTACCATTCCCTTAGCTCTATGCACCAGTTTTTTCTTTTCTTTTGTTTCTTTCCCCTTTTTTTCTGTGAATCTGCCCACTGCTAGTGAATGAGTGACTTGACCCACTTTTTTGACATGATTAGTTAGCAGCTTGTCTGGTGCTCTGTAAGTGTGTTTTACTGACTTTCAAGTGTAGCAGTTACTGGGAGTAAATAAAACCAACCCCTTGTGTTTTTTATAACAACCTTCTTCATCCATCTTTCTGCTTTTATTAAGCAGGTTTCTACTTTTTATTAAGCAGGAGTCACACTTTTTGTCTTTTACCATACTAGAAGAATAGTATGTAGATTGCTCTTTCTCCTTAAAATGAGAATTTGTTGTGTTATGATGCTTCCTTTACTAATGTTGACTTTTCTGTGGATACAGCAAACTTGTACAGATTCTCTGCGTATGCTAAGACAAAACCAACACAGAATATTAAAGATAAGCCTTAAACTTGGCTATTGATGCACAAATAAGTTTCTCTGTCCTATTAGTTTCTTAGACTTTACAGCATTTAGTGTATCAGAAATAAGCATTGTTCCCCTGAGATGTCTTACTGACTCAAAGCCAGTTGCTAGTACAGTTCTGTTGAATATGGCCCTGCAACTTTATGTAGGTAACAAAGGTGATACTAACACTTAAAAATGAGTAAGAATGGGATCTCTTAACTGAGAAGGTATGTTGTCACTGCACTAATTAGAGGCTATTGCTGGTTTTACTGTTCCATTCTCTCAAATGTTTTTAAAATGACGGTTTTTATACATGTAACTCAATTAACCTTACCTTCTGGTGTAGAATAAATAGTATTTTTTCTATTCTAAACAGGTGAGGCTTAGCACCACTTGGCACTACTGGTAGGTCCCTCTTGTGAAATTTCAGTACTTTGTACTGGGAATACTGAAGTCAGATGTGCTGGCAAATAGAACCGAGACATCTGTTCTGCCACTGGAAATCAGCCTTCTCCTTAGGGTTTCCTTAATCACCTATGGTGAGACTTTGTGCCCTAGATTTTCATAGTGCTTTCCTACCCAAGGCATGGATGATGCATAGTTGTGCCTAGGACGTGCTTCTCTAGCTTTTCCAGCACTTTAGTGATACTTCTGCATGTAGCAGCTTTGGGAGGTGGCCGGTGCTACTGTACCTGACCAGATTTTAATTCATTTTCTGTGGTGGCCCTGAGCTTTTGTGATGCTTTAAGTTGTTGGGGTTTCTACCAGATATCAAAAATGGAATGAAGAGTAGCAAGCAGGTGGTGAATGCAACTAGTTATCTCAGTCATTGTGCTAATTAGAGGCAGTTTTATTATTAGTTTCTCTTGAGCTGCTATTTAATGTTGAAGAATGTTGTTTTACTGACCTATATGAATTTTCATGCTTTGGATGATCTGCAGACATCCTAAGAGATGACCAATTGATCAGCTATTTTATTTTAGAATTTCTCATTTAATTATAATTTTCAATATATTTTCTTTTAATTATAGTAACTATTCCACAGGATGAGGAAGTTAAGTTGTCACTTCCTGCAAATACAAAATTGTCTTGTAAAATACAGGGAAATGTGTATTCTGTTTTTCCTGCTTCTTGTGTAAATCATTAACTGTCTTAGAGTGGAAACTTCTTACCTTGTCAATAACTACCTCCTGAGTTCAGCAATAATTGGCAAGGTATACACTCCTCTGGTGGATTCAATACACTGGCTCAACACTGCAGATTCTTCAGAGTCTGATGTTTGATTTGAAAACGCTTGACATTACTTCTGGGAACTATGGTGATGAACCTTGTTTTGCTGTAAGACTTTCCTTGCCTTCTTAACATACACTTCTTAAAAAAATCCTTTCTTCAGAGAAGTGGCTTTGAGGATAAAAGGTCAGCGTTCTTTGTAGTTGGTTAATACAGGCGTGGTCCGCAGAGGTGCCGGGGTGTGGCCCCTCAGCTATGCAGGGTTTTCTCCCATCAGAAGTGGGGAAGAAAGTGCTTTGGCTAATAGTCGCACACGTGTCAAAGGGACTGGAAATACAGAAACTGTTTTTGCCACATGATTCCAGTTTTTAGTCATGTGAAGGGCTAGTCAGTTTTTTTCAGAAATCTGTATTAAAGTGATGAAAACCAAAGGTGGAGACAAAACACCGTACCCCACCCCCATAAAACATATTGGACAACTCCAGTCTGGGATGGGACTAATTTTTGTATTTTGTTGCTTAGAAGCACTTTTGTTTCACTGTTCCTTTAAGAATGTTTTCTGAAATGTTAAACACCGTTTTACTAATAAGCAATGTAAAAAAGCATGATGAGCAGTCACATAGCTTTAGCTCACAATAAAATGTTTTGTTTGTCCTGTTATTACTGTTTTCTTGTCTGTTTATCAGATAAAATGTCCAAAACTAAAAGCCTTTTCATTAAACTTGAAGCCTGTTAAATTGCTGCTGGTTTTAAAAAAAAATTTAAAACATCAGGTGTTGTATATCAGATGATGGAACAATGAATATGTAAATAAACCAGTTTCTAAAGAACATAACTCACGTTCTTAAAACTAATGTAAACAGAAGTGCTACTTCCTAAATAAATGTGCTTAAACTGAAAGTGTGTGCTTATCCTAGTCTTGCTAGATTATGGTGAAAAGCAGGAGGTGGTCATGGTGAAGTCCTGAAAAATCTGGAACAAATTTGCTCGGCTTCAAAATGGCTTTTCTTTTGTTTGGGGGAGAGTGCTGCTGTTAATTCTGAGTTAACAGTGTAATTTCTTTACCTATCCCCATTGCCTTACCATTTGTAATTCTTGTCTTCAGGCTGCATCAGGACTGTTTACAGCTATGAAGGTGTTCTGTTACCATTACATCCTGAAGATAAAATTAATCAAACTTTATTGTTTTAGATTCATTCTAATATTACATATCTGGCAGCATTATGAGTCTCCCAAAAACCAGCCATGACCACTGCCTTCCACACATCATCATGTCAATCACTGCTAAAACAAACCAACCAAATAAAAATCAATACAGCTAGGAGGGAAAAAAAACCCCAGTGTTTTGGACTGAAGCATATG